GGGGGGGTTGAAGTCACGAAATTGTGCCACATGGGGGATAGGCTCGTGGCATAGAGGGGGATAGGGGAAGGAGAGAGAGAGAGAGAGCATGCGAATCAAGGCACGTTTAACGTGAGTGAGCGTGCACCATGGCGAGCACACACACACACACACACACACACACACGGAAAGAGAGAGAGAGAGAGAGAGAGAGAGAGAGAGAGAGAGAGAGAGAGAGAGAGAGAGAGACGTGACAGTACCCGTCATGTGGTGAAGGCTGTGATGAAAAGCAGAGAGCGGAGTCTCGTGCCATGGAAGAGAGAGAGAGAGAGATGGACCGCACATTATCGTCCCTCCTGAAAGCGCGTTCAATCTCTCTCTCGTGGCGAAAGAGAATAGATCATTGCGTGCATGCAGCCCTAGCGTCTATCCCATCCGTCAGATACAAGGTATGTGTATAAACATCGTTTTATTTTTCCACACTTTTTTTACTTTAAAATGCGTTCATTGTCTGACAGGCACTAAATGACTCTCATGCTTCCAGCATACATGATAGCAATTTCTCTGTTATTCGTCGTGCTTGTTATGACCGATTTGCTACTTTTTTGTAACCGTGGGTGGCATATTCTTATATTTTGAATCATTCTATTCTTGTATTCTTTGCGTTCTTTCGTTTGTTCAGTAAGAAATGTATTCGTTCGTTTGTTTGCAAGTGGTGGTTTCTTCGCTGTAGATTCCTTTATCAGGTGTTATTCGGACTCTGTAGTTAGTTTCACTTTTTTTGGCGGGGTATTTTTTTTTCCCCCTTTCACTTTGATGACTTTTTTGGCGGCGCATGCTTCATTGATCCGTGCAGCGAAGGCCTGTGCCATATTCGTCTCCTTTTTTTGAGGAAAAGAAAGAAGAGGTCTGTTCCATATTGATAGGTTCTCTTCTCCTTTATCGTGTACTCCATCGAAATCGAAATCCTCTTCTTTTTCCTCTTTCCTTTTCTATCCATTGACCTGTAGGGCGTTTTCCTCGGTGCATGTGGATTCGAACATGGGGGTGTATTGTAACAGTTCATTGGTGTTCACCCGAATAGAACGCCCGGTCATTATGGCTGGATCTGGACTGAAAGTTGCCCAAAATACAGCTATAATGACGGGGTGTTTTATTCGGGTGAAGACGGCAGGCCAGGCCAGTCAGTTGTTCTTCCTTCTTCCCCTGTTGTTCTTCCTCCTCCTTCTGCCTCCTTTGCTTCCTTCTCCCTCCGCCTCTTCTAGTTCCTCTTCCTCCTCCTCCCTCTCCTTCTCCTCCCCCTCCTCTTCTTCTTCCTCCTGCCCTCTTAGATTACCACTGCTCGCCGTTGTTAGCATGCCCAGAAGAATTCGGAGAGAGAGAGAGAGAGAGAGAGAGGTGCTATTCCTCTGTGCGATCAGACTCGCTCGTGGGCAAAGGAGCGCTCACGAGAGAGAGAGAGAGAGAGAGAGAGAGAGAGAGAGAGAGAGGTGCTATTCCTCTCTGTGCGATCAGACTCGCTTGTGGGCAAAGGAGCGCTCATGTGAGAGAGAGAGAGAGAGAGAGAGAGAGAGAGAGAGAGAGAGAGAGAGAGAGAGAGAGAGAGAGAGAGAGAGAGAGGGCCAAATGATGAATCGATCCCGTCTTCATTTGTTTCCTCCTCAAATTTGAATAATGGTGCGTCTTGTCGTCTTGTTCAAATTGCACTGAGACACTCGTCCGTGATTTTCCACTTTTTCAATTTTTTCCTTATATTTTTTTTCCCCCCTTTTCACTTTGATGATTTTTTTGGCCGGGTATGCTTCATTGATCCGTGGTGCAGCGAAGGCCTGTGCCCTTTTCGTCTCCTTTTTTTGAGAAAGAGAAAGAAGAGGTCTGTTCCATATTGATAGGTTCTCTTCTCTCTTTATCGTGTACTCCATCGAAATCGAAATCCTCTTCTTTTTCCTCTTTCCTTTTCTATCCATTGACCTGTAGGGCGTTTTCCTAGGTGCATGTGGATTCGAACATGGGGCTGTATTTCAACAGTTCATTGGTGTTCACCCGAATAGAACGCCCGGTCATTCTGGCTGCATCTGGACTGAAAGTTGCCCAAAATACGGCTATAATGACCGGGTGTTCTATTCGGGTGAAGAAAGGAGGTCAGTCAATTATTCTTCCTCCTTCCCCTGTTGTTCTTCCTCCTCCTCCTGCCTCCTTTGCTTCCTTCTCCCTCCGCCTTTTCTGGTTCCTCTTCCTCCTCCTCCCTCTTCTTCCTCCTCCCCCTCTTCTTCTTCCTCCTCCCGTCTTAGATTACCACTGCTCGCCGTTGTAAATCTCACTAGTTTTTTTCTTTTTTCTTCTTGCTCATCCGATACCTGCCCAATACACGTTGATGGCGCCAACTCGTCCGTGCAGATAGCTTTGCCGACCAGCGATCCAGTTTCACGGAATCCTGAGAACACGTATTTTTTATCATGGCCAGAAGAGTTCGGAGAGAGAGAGTTTGGAAGGGGGGGGGGAGAGAGAGAGAGAGAGAGAGAGAGAGAGAGAGGACCTCATCTGATCTCTCTCTAGGATCATAGTCAAAAGAGAGATGTCGGTAATGCTGCGAGAGAGAGGGAGAGAACAGATCTCTGTGCGTATGTACACCTAGCCCTGATCGATCCGTCAGATACAAGGTATGTCCATAAACATGATTTTTTGTTTTTTCACCTCTTTCTTTTTTCCTTCAAATTATTTAGTCATCTGGCATTCGTTGTCATTGCTCTGTCGTATGTTTTGTCATCTGGCACTCGTTTTCATCGCTCTGTCATCCTTCTCGTTTTCCACTGTTTGATTACCGCTCGGGATCCTTGCACATCGCTAGAAGGTGACAAGGGGGAGAGAGAGAGAGAGAGAGAGAGAGAGAGAGAGATTATGGGTGCATTTTTATGATTCGTGCTGCTCATTACGTTAGGTGCATTTTTTAACAAATTCTGAGTTAAGGTGCAGATTATGGGTGGTATGCGTACGTCGTTCGTCCGAAAGGTCTTTGGTAAGCCATTGAATAGTGGGAGGTTTAGTGTATACCCTCTTCTTGTGATCTGCTTGGTTGAGCGTTGATGATTGTGTTACAAATGTACTCTAGAGCGAGGAACAACTGTTTTACTGTCAGTTTCTGAATTTTGTGTGGGCGCGCAATTAAGACTTTTTTTTTTTTTTTTTTTTTTGGTCTCGAACAGACTTGTTTGGGGATTCGGTTCGAGAGGTCGGATATATCGCTGAGTGCATCAGTAAAACGAAGTACAGGTTTTATCACCGTGTTCTGATTGACAAGCGGTTCAAAGAGAGCACAACAGGATTTCAGAAAGTAATGCGGCATTTGGAGAGGGCTTCCAAATATCATCTCGACCGCGTGACCTATCTCCATTTTGACATCGTGGTTTGCTCCGTACACGGCTTTTGTTCATTAACTCGCTGTCCCTCTTCCACCCTCCTCCAAGTCCTCTCTCTCATTCCTCCAGCTCTCGCCGCACCCTGCTTTCTCCTCGTCTTCATGGTATGTCCTTGTCAGCACTTCTGAACCCACTGTATTTATTAGTAAAAAGGCGGAAGAACAGTATGCTCTCTGAGGGTTTCCAGCAGCTTCTACGTTTTCTTGCACTTTTCTTGATCATCTCACCATGGAAATTGTAACTGTGTTTTCAGTTTCGATAGAAGAGTAGAATGATCATGGGCGTGGTGTTTGTATGTGAGTGCGTTTGTAATGAGCGTAGTCTTTGTTTCACAAAAACTTTCGGAGAATAGAAAGAGGGGAGATTTGACTAAGGAAGACTAAGGAAGTCTTTCTTTTCTTTCTTTTGTTCTTTTTTCTAAACAGTCCTCTACTTCATCATCTAGGAAATGATGTTCTTGTGTCATTTGTTTTCGGAAGAGCTGGGTCCAACGGACAGGTAGTTCCATCACTGCAACGGTTTGGGAGAGGCGGACTGGTGTCAATTTCAAGTTGGAAATTTTGAGCTCGTGAAAATTTTCTGAATCCACGTCAGGTTGTTACAGGAAATTACGCGGGATTTTGTCAGCCACGCGGGGATGGTCTGAATCTGCTGTATTTTTCCGGAATTAATGGTACTTTTCAGATTGGAAATTAATAGCGGGGAAGGATCCGGTACGGTTGACTAGAGTGAGGCTATTAATCTATAGTACTATGAAAATTTGAATCACGTTGGCCAACACGGCGGTGTAGCTCGCCGGGAATATCCTTGGGCGTTCTATGCTAAGGAAGCCCTGGTCATCCGCTACCTATTAGTCCGGTGCTATTACCCTCGTGGTTACTTGGCGGGATAATCAATTGCAGGCCGGTTCGGTCAGAGTTAATAATTGCAAATGACACAATCAATAAGGGAGTTTTAGCCTCTAAGGTAGTTTGCCTCATTAGTATGTTTACCTCTTCTTCTGAAAGCAGTTCCCCATTCCAGCTGAACTCTCTACTGATGGAATTCCTCTCGGTATGAACAGTTGTATCAAAACAGCCTGGAAGAGAAGTCTTCACACACTGTTTCTTCACATAGGATCTCTCAAATACTTCCTTCTTCACAAAGATATCCATTCCCCTGGAAAAGAGAACAAAAAAAAGAGAAAAAATATGTGAACACCTGTTAACCTCTAGGCTTCTCAACTTTCTTGTTCCAGAACAAGAAATCAAAAATAATTCAAGAAGTTATACGGATGGCCAACACCCAGCTCATGTCGCTGAATGGTACACCATAAAAACATAAAAATCAAAACAAGACGTGTCAATATCATCACAAGCGAGAAAAGCAGGCCAACACCCAGCTCATGTCGCTGAATGGTACACCAATGAACTGTTTTGTCGCTCTTGTCCAATTAGACACAATTAGGGCATAACTCCCGAAGGACATTGCATCACATGACCCAAAGGCAGAGACGCAAGTGGTATCTCAAATAGCCTGAAAATTGCCCACAAGTCTGCACCACAGGGGGTTGGTCCCCTCGGTGCTGATTCCCCGTAAGCTAAACTGGGTAATGCTCCCAGCATTCTCCCAGGTAGACTGTGACGGCCGCGGGCTCCAATAAGTTCCTTGGATAATAACCTTTTTCAAGTTCTTTCAAATAGAAAAAAAATATCAAAACTCTTGGCAATCTTCGAGGTAGGCCAACCTATGACGTGGCACTATGTGGGTTGGGTGGTAATAGGTGGGGTGGGTCACAGCATGTGTACTTGATTGTTGTATGCGGATTTCCCGGTACAACACGGGTAGGCGGGTAATGCCAAGCGAAGTGGGTGGCACCACCACCCACAGTCATAGATGTTAAGAGAGACATCTCGACTCTAGATTCAAGAATGCAGCCATCAAAAAGCAAGGCTCCAACCAGGGCGTTCTCTCACCACCCCCTGGGGCCAAGTCTCACTTACCCGTATCCTTCATTTGGTACCGTGGATTGCAGACCCACAATCATAGATGAAGAATTTCACCAAGTGAGACGTGGCCCCTGGATAGCAGTCTTGCAAGCAAATCCTTTCTGAAAAAAAAAAAAAGGGAAAATAAGAACGCAACAGGCCCCTCCATGGCAAAACCTGCACCGATACTGTATTTGGTCCAATCAGAATATACTTGGTTATCAACGACATCTGGCTTTGATGGGTTCCCAGGCAGATTCTGACAGTCGGTTTCATATGATACGAAGACGAGAGGGATATAATGAGGGGGTATGAAGAATAGTGAAAACAATGGCCATAGACTGTTTCTCGTACAAGCATCGATGTCATCATTACTTCTCCGCATGTACTGTTCTCAGCAAGAAAACGCGTATCTTCGCCGACGCGTTTCGGCCACGCTGCGCTCCCGGCCTTCCTCAGGGGCTTCTCCCGAAATCGCCTTGCGGCGCCACCTAACTTTCCGACCAAGTATCTGAGAATAGAGGGCTGACGGCCTTACCCTCTCGCTTATAGTAATCACCTAGCTACAGGCGTAAGCAGTATTGGTTTTCTGTATACTTCTAAGATCTTGAATGTGACTCATTGAACTGATCATTGCAGGTTACAGAAAGGTCGACAAAGAGACTTAAGATACAGAGGAAACCAAATGAATATGTGCGAAGGCTAAATAATAATCCTGCAGAACCGGCTGATGAAAATGATGAAGACGGACCTGTTGAAGTTGCACCCGGTCAGGATGGACATGATGAAGACGGACCGGATGAAGATCAACCACATCAAGATCGACCCAATGACCATGGACCTGAACAGGCTGCCGAACCAGAATTGCTTGATAGAGCTTGTGGAATTTGCAAGGTATTTGTTTTTGAAATCACTACCGCTCTGAGCTCTCGGATTCTCAACCCTCAATTTTATTTCGGTAAACATTTTTAAAATAATGATTCTGATAACCAAAAGACGGTATATCGTTTACCAATTTGCCTTGCTGAACTGACAAATTCATGATCTCTCATCCCCATTGTGTACAAGAAAGTCAAGATGGAGATCTGTGTGAGGAAGTTGCAGAAATTGCATCTAGAGCAGAAAAATAAGTGTGCAATAGGGTAAGTGCTATCATTCTCTGTAGGATTTTGATTTTCGGTGTTCCCAGGAATGTGTTCGAACTTTTTATTTACCGCTTGCATTATCTTGCTGTGTTCCCGAACAATAATACAAAAGTCAATTTTTGAACTACTCAACCTTGCCATGTTATTTTTTAGCATATTCAAAATGTATTTTTCTTCGCTGGGCAATAATGCCATTTAATTTTTTATTTTTTTTTCTGCAATAATATGATTTTGTCCAACAGACTCTCAATCACCTAATGTCTGTCAGACCTTGTTATTTGGGATGTGAGAGCAACATAGAAAATGAGGAATGACTGGGATATAATGGCGTGAATCGATTTGCAGACGAATTAACAACATTTTTATTTTTTGAACAAAATTGAAACCGACTAATTTGGTTAGAATCCGCCCGAGCCAGGTCAAAATTTGGCGAAATTGAGGGTCTGACGTTCTTAAAAAGCCATATGCCCTGGACTCCAGCTAAGTACAGATACATCCAGGGAGTCCGGCGTTCTCAAAACGATGATGATGCGGACTTCCATAGCCAGGTAAGTACCTCCGAGTTACCAATCTCCTCCTTTGATGTTCAGAAGATAATGCAAAAGCAACTTTGATCGTTGCAGTCAGGCCGCCATGCTTGACTCTGCCTTGGAACCTTTCTGTAGCAGCACACCCTAAATACCGTCTTCCAACAACAACGCCAACCAGGAAGATGACGATGCCGACTTCCATAGCCAGGTAAGTACCTCCAAGTTGTTAATCTCCTCCTTTGTCCCCTACTTCCTCCTCCTTGTACCGGCAAAGCTCCAGCATAGCTAAGGTGGGAGCCCCCAGCCTCCTTCCTCCTTCTAGCGCTGCTTCTTCCAGCACTCCTCCTTCCAGCGGCACTCTGAGCACTACCACCCGCTCAAGCAGCATGTTGCCCAAACTTGCATACCGCAAATGAGGCTGAGCCTCTCACTCTCCTCCAATATGTAGTGAGGCATTCGCCTCTTGGGCGGTGACTTCCTGGCCGCTCAGCCTCTCAAGCAACTGGTACCACCGTCGTTTCGGAGAGGAACATCATTGCAGGCTCTTATATCGTCCTCACAGGCCCTAGACTCAGGGTACTTGGGCTGGTACCCGCCTACCTTTAGGCCTACCGCTACTGGGCCTCTGAAAATGCTAACTTTGTTTTCTTCTGCTTAGCCTCTCGTACCGCTACTAGGCCTCTAAAAATGCTGACTTTGTTTTCTTCTGCTCGGCCTCCGGTTCCCAATACTTCTGCTACTCGAGTGGTACCGGCCTACCCGCTACTTGAGTGTTTTTCCATGCGGCTCTAAGTGTCACGGGCCTTCCCCCACTTCTTGAATGTTTTCCCCGCAGCAACCCTCAAACTCACAGCCACAGGTAAGTACTGGTCCAGCGGGGCTCTCAAACAAACAAGTGCCCTTGCGGGTCACACACACACTCAGGTGGACAAGCACTCAGACAAGCAAACAAACCAGCAAGCATGCGCACACACAAACTCAGAAAACTCAGCAAGACGTGAGAATCTCAACCACGCATTCATTGCAGCAGCAAAACTAAAAAACCAGTAGTGTTCTCAGTCCATGTTTGTGCAGGTCATTACAACTTACAACTAAAAAATTATATATTATTATCGTTTTTATAATCTTTTGTTGTACCTTGTCCATATTCCAAGGTATACAACTCAAGCATCCCTATCATCTTGTCTATCATGAAGGCATCTGTCAATAAATCTAAGTTACCTGGACGAACGTCCGGGAGCTGTCGGAGAGTCCATGCTGTCCTATCGAACAATTGGCGCGGTCGTCTGCCTGGGGACTAATGTCTGCCCCCTAGGATAAATAGAGGGTGGGCGATTACAAGTTTTGGGCCCGTGGAGGTGGGGTAGAGGGCGATAGCCACAGAAGTCCAGTATGGCCTAGAAAAAAAAAAGGATTCTGGGCTGCCAGATCTTTGAATTGAAATAAAAAAAGGCCCAATATGGGCCGTCGGACTGAAGATAGAAAGGAAATTGAACCTCTCAAAACTATGAATGATTGATAAGCCCTGCGCAATGGTTAAATCAGACAAGGAAGAAGGACCCAGTGAAGATGAATATGCCAAATTGAATGTTGCTGAAGAATGTGTAAATGTTGCAGCTTCTCAAAATTATGAGGTATACAACTATTAATTTTTGGTATAACCTTGCATGTTGAGGGTCCGAATAGGAAATGACGAAGTTGGATAAAAAGGGTAAAAAATTGATGTAATTAGTAATTATTAATTATATTAATATTATATACAATATTTTTTGTATATCGTCAAAAAGAGCTGCCCGGTAAACAGTAGGCAGAGAGGGAGAAGACCATAACAAACAAGGGGCTGTGACAAGCTAGTTTGTAGTAGTTTACGAACTCGACTTTTAGAATGGTTCAAGATGTACACTAAGTATTATATATAATAATTATAAGCCTTGGTGAGAATCAATTTTTTTATTATGTTTTTTCAATGTAGGTACAGGAAAGTCAAGATGAAGACCTGTGGGCGGAGGTTGGAGAAATTGCATCAGAGGCAGAAAAAGCATTCTCGGCATGCTTAAACACTGAGTTTTCAGTCCCTGTGCCGAGTTCCAATCGTCTGCCTTCTAATTCGAGTCCTGAGTGCCGCCATCCTGACCCAGTCCAGAGTTCCAATTCAAGGGTTGATCCATTTGATGTGCATGACACTGTGTCCATTCCAGGGATAAGCTTCAGGCGCTCTGTGCATCGCATTCTACAATTTTGTCTACAAATTTGTATTTCATGTGTTGTAGTTCATTTGACAACTGCTAACGCTATTCTAATCAGGTCACTTGATTGGATGAAACATGGTCAGTCCAAGACTCCAAACATGTCAACAAAAAAAAAATCTACCAGGCAAAGTGCATTGGCACTTCAGGACTGTACAAAAGACACTGAAAAGGACCCGCATGACACTTCCCAGAACAAACATAAAGTGAAACATTTTATGTTTTTTTAACATGCCTGGTTGTGAACCTCAGAACCATGAAAAGGTAACATGCCTGGTTGTGAACCTCAGAATCATGAAAAGGAAAAAAACCAGCAAAAAACAATCTCCCATGTATCCAGTACCTGATGTATCTGTGCCCATAAAGGCTTCCATGACCCTTGCTTATGGTCAAAATAGGTCCCAAGTGGCCCAGAACCTTAAGTGGACCAATGGTGGCCATAAGCAATATAGAGAGCTCCCTTGGATACCTCAATATTTTTCTCAATTTTTTTTTGAATTCGTAGAATTCTTAATATACAGTTTTTATGTGATCACAATGCAAAATGTGTTGCTTTTGGAACTTGGGTCTCTTTGCCCTCTATCCTTTTGTTACTTACGTCTCATGTTTTGTTAATCTTGGTTGTTGTGTTATTCATAGGGACTTCCAGAAACTGAGAACTTTGTCACACATGTTTGTTAATTTATTGTACAATTAAGTTTGCATTCAATGATTAAAAAAATGAATGAAAACTTCAACAGCACAGATGATGAAAAAAATGAGCATCCTTAATTTGCTGCTCCGAGTCCACCTGGTCAAGATGGGTGATAAAAAACAGCCTAGTAGGAGCGTGCAGGTTTAAAAATAAAATAAAAATCCTTCGAAAGTTATCAAATATAATCATTCTTACTTCTCGCTTGTCGTGGACTAACTGGTAGTCCCTCAGATCAGTTTTATCATTGGAATAAACAGATTGAATTACTTTTAATTCTCGCTGGATGTAGACTGGCTGGTACGGTATGCAATTGGGTACTTACTGGCTAGTGGCCTTCGGATGGGTTTAGACCATTGTCGATTTTCACTCTCTGTCCCAGTTAGAAATTTTGCTTTGCTCGTGGTAGACTGGGTCCCTGTCTCATTTTTGGGGACTCGTTTTTTTTTTAAACGTATCATGTTGCTGCTTGGAGTGCTAGCCTTTGGACTGAAGCACACAGCCATGATACTTCGAGTGTTTGTTTTTTCTGTTTTTTTTTTTTTACTAGCATGAACAGGGACTGCTTGCTGGTCCGGGAAAGAAAATAAAATAAAAAAATAAAAAGCAGCCCGCATACCTGCCTTTCCAAGCCAAAGGTGAATGCTAGGTAGGGCTGGCGAGGTTCTAATTGTCTGATAGTTGGAGCTAAGGTTTGAACTCACGCACAGATCTCGCTAGCTGCCTGGCTGCCTGCCTGTCTGGATGCCTCCCTGGCTGTGTGTTTGGCTGGCTGCCTGGCTGGTTATCTGCCTCGTGGGCTACCCGCCTGGCTGCCTGGTCTGCCTGCATGGCTGCGTGGCTGGCTTCCTACCTACCTGGGTCCCTGCGTGGCTGCCCGCCAGGCTGTCTGCCTGCCTTGGCTGCCTTGCCTGGCTGGCTTGGCTGGCAGACTGGCTGCCTGCCAGCCAGCCACTTGCTGGACGTGCAAAAAGATAAAACATAAAAAAAAATACAGCAGCCCCACCTACCTGCCTATCCAAGCCAGGGCTTGTAGCTAGGTTGGGCTGACAAGGGTCAGACTTTTTTATGGTTGTGGCTGGGGTTTGCACCCATGCACAGATCTGGCTGGCTGGCTGCCTGCCTGGTGGCCTGCTGCCTTCCTGGTGGTCTGCCTGCTTGGTGGCCTGCCCACCTGGGTGCTTGCTTGCCTGTACTGCCTGCCTACCTGCCTGGTTGCCTGTGTGTCTGGCTTGGTTGCCTTGCCTGGCTTGCGTGGTTGGCTGCCTGGCTGCCTACCTGCCTGCCTTCCTGCCTTGCTTGCCTGGTTTGGTTGTCTGCCTGGCTGCCTGACTGCCTGTCTGTCTGTCTGTTTGTTCGTCCATGTGTCTCCCTTCCTCTGTCTGTCACTCTCTCTCTATCTGTCTGGATGCCTGACTGCCTGCCTGTCGGTCTACCTGTCTCTCTCTGTCTGTCTGTCTCTCTCTGACTATCTGTCATTGATTTTCTATGGCATGGTGAAGTGGTGTTGGATCTTGTTGTCTTCTTTTTTCGTTGATGGTCAAGTGCACTTACACAAAATTTTGTGTGTGCTCTCTCAGGTACATGCAGATGGCCGAACATAAGAGAGAATTTTATGAGTTGATTGACCCTGTAAGTAACAAACCCCTCCCGCATTTCCACTCTTCAGTTGTTTGGGAATGCTGCCTTCATTACATTTTTATCCTGAGTTAATTGACCGTGTAAGTAATAAATCTACTCTGCATAGGTGAATTTTGAAACAAGTAGTTTCTTATAATCATATGTTCATAAATGTTTGATAACATGCTATGTTCAAGCTGATATTTCTAACTCGTTTTTTATTTTGTTTGTTTGTTTCTTTTTGTCTTATAAGGAACGACGATGTCATCTCTTTTTTGACATGGAGTTTGACACACAGCTCAATAGAGGCGTGGATGGTGATGCCATGGTCGAGACTGTTGTCGGTATCATTTCATCTTTAATTCCCACTCAGTTTCCAGGGTTGTATGGCCTGGAAGATGCCTGGATTTTGGACACAGATTCTTCAAGGGAGAAAAAGTTTTCAAGACATCTCCTTGTCAAGATACCGGGCATGATGTTCAATAATATCGCACATGTTAACAAGTTTGTGTCCATGGTATGCCAACTATTTCACAGAATTTTCCCAGTCATCCTTTCTGTATGTTGATGTTATGAATTTACTTGATTCAGATAGTACAATTACATGGTTGATTTGCGAAGTATCTAACATCTCTTTTTTTCTTTGGTGAATTTCAGATTTGCAACCACATCAAATGTAACAGGGGCAAGGTCTTGTCGTATGACAAATTGTTTGTGGAGAAGAGACAAGGCCCTGGGCTATTTATAGATTTGAATGTCTATAAAAGCAAACAGCTGATGAGGTTGCCTTTCTCCACTAAGCAAAGACTCTCCTCGTTCCTCAGGCCCACTGGTCGATTTGGAACTCCTGCATTTACGGTGAGTTTGTAGAGGAGAGAGCCAGATCTTATCAAAGGCGTCTCCTTGCTTGCAAATATTAGTAGTAACAAAAGTTAACTTCTGTCTCGTGACTACTACAACTTCTTTTCACAAACAAATAATGGTAAAAGAAAGGTGCGAAAAGAAACAAGTTGCTCCCTTGCTTTTATGAAAGATTAAATTTGTCGGCATTTTTTTTTTTCATTATATATCTAGGTAATCTCGAGATGCCCGCAGCGAAGCAACAACCATGCAACCCCCAGGCAAGCTTGTATGGAGGTCATGCCCATTGGAGCACCCGGGCCTAGGGTTAATGCCCGTTTGGGCACTCGGGTGTGTATCGAAACTGGGTTGTATGGGTTCCCGGACTCACCTGACCAGGTCGCCCAGCAGGGTGAGTCTGGTAACCTATATATATAGTTAATTGTTTTGTGAAAAGAGTTTATTTTGGGGGGTTGGCCCAACTTGGCAGCTCATTTGTGCTGATACATCCCTAGTTTGATTGTTGTGAGTCCTTTGTCATTAATTGAGTTAGACTTTTCATGTGGTACCTTTTGGTCAACCTAAACTAGTTCGGACGCACACGGAACCCGCCCAGAGTAGCTGGCCAAGCGGCACAATTGAACGACCCAGTTGGCAGACCATGAAAGATTTAAGAGGAGGAGGTGTTTCTGTGTTGTCGGCTTGTGGTTGTGGTTTCATTAATTAGAACTCTTTACTTAATTTCCCTGACTCGTTTTTTAGTGTCCCTTACGACCAGATCAATCTGTCGCATTTTTTCGTTTCAGATTGAAGGCAGTTTATGTTTCTTGTATGAACATGCGATGAGTGGGTTCGTAGAATCTTCTGACTTGTTGATGCACTCTTGAAAAAAAATCGATTAACATAAAAAAACTAATATAAAATAAAACATGTTTTGAATTTTTGTTTTACTAAATATTTTTCTGGTTTTTGATAATTGAACTACAGATCCATAATCTCCAGGAACTGAGGAAGATTTTCATCTCAGAGACAAATGTGGATATATGTCAAGACCCGGTAGGCAAAATCATTTTTCACTCTTTTGTCGCAGTAATATATATATATTTTTTTACCCTGTAAAAGTGATATATATATATATATATTTTTTTTTTGTGGTTTGAAGAAGAAAATTAGTGAACTCTCGGTAAAATTTGTTCATGTTTTGAGTTCTTTGTGGCCCCGAACACTTGACCTGAACTGAACATTCTGTCCGCCAAGTGTCTGGGATCGTGAACACCTCCGATGTGGAGGTGCGACCTGTTTTCTTAAACGTGGCCTTTGCTGCACCTCGTGGGAGGACCCCATGTAGAATATCAGGGCGCATGTCAACAATACATTGTTGAAATTTTTGTTTTTTTCACCCTAAGTACAACAGAACCTGCCGCAGGGGTACCAACAGCCACAGTCGGCTCACTCGATATGCAAGACCAATTGCATGCACTTGCTGTGTCAGGAGGTGCTGCTGCCACACCTTCCTCCCAATCCCCTTGCCTTCTTTTGTCTTTTTTGTTTTTCAACTACACTATATTCTTCTCTCAAATTCTTTTTTGCGTTCCACTACTTACCTACCACTACTTGTAAGGTTATATAGAGGGAAAAAACCCTACAAGCATAGCTACCTTAAAATAAAGGGATTTCATGTTGCCCCCGCCCCAACGGCGGTAGTCAGAGATGAGGTGGGCCGGCCGCTGGGGGTCCGGCCAACACTCTCTCACACACCACGCACAACACTCTCAGACTCGCACTCACACCCATATTGGTCAAAGATCCTACTAATACCAATCAGAGGTATCAAGCGGACTATCACAACTGGTTGGAACTAAGTCACAGTCTAAGTGCACTGCATGCGATTACAGGGTTTGAAACCACAACCTCCTGAAATGCCACTTGCTTACCTAACGAACTGAGGCTAGGCCATTGAATGCCTTCTCTTGTCTTTGCGTGAAGTGGACATATTTTTCTTGCAGTTTGTATCTCCTCTGTTACTACTGCAATGTGCCTTGCATCTTTGTAGATGCAGTCTATGACCTCTCATCAAAAGCTCACAATATTGTGTCAAGGCTGGATTGTGGCAACCTGATTGTTTGACATCTATATTATTTTTATTTTTATTTTTGTCACAGGAACTTTTCAATGGAGAGAAAGGGGAGATAGACACAGGCTGCGTACTCCAGAGTGACAATTTTCATACTTCCACTGTTGGTAGCAGTTCATGTGCCATTTGAAGCACCTCATCAAAGAACAAGTCTTCACAATTTTCGATGCTCGATGCTTTCGTAATATCATTGGGTAATCGGAATGCTCTCCCCGGACAGAAATGTGAGTGTTTCTGACTCTTTTTTTTAGGGATAATGTGAGTTTTTTTCATAAGAAAACTATTGCCTCTATAGTTTTTTGCGAAAAAAAAAATGATATCCTATTTTTTCAAATTTGGTCATGATCACTGGCATCAGTGGCATGAGGTATCAATCTTGTAGACTTGTCCCTTGTGATTTTGGGTCTGGGTACATCACTCTCAGAATCAAATAACAATGTGGAAAAACAATTAAATATTTCATTAAATAATAATCTTAGGCATGCAATATATTATTGCGATTTATATTTATAAAAATCTAGGCTACCAGAGTGGCCCGGGGCCATTTGCCCGGCCGAGCCAAAACATTAAAAAAAATAAAAATAAAAAAGTGTGTATTTTAAATTTTATTTTTTATTTTAAATTTGGTGAAGAATTTCGACTACCTGAAAGTTGTTCAGTTTATGTTTTTGCATAACATAGTTTTTTTGTGAATTTTTTGGATTTGTTTGTTTTTTGTTTTCTTTTGCTGGTACCTTCCCTGGTCCTTGCACGGGCTGCCCACCCGAGACTCGGGCGGCCCGTCTAGTAGCCTAGATAAAAATTCTTTATGGGGAAAACAAGAATCCTCTTTTAACAAAAACGGTGGTAGCCTTAAGATATTACAAATCAAACGGATTACCCACTTAGGGTAACTTGGATTTTATCTCATGCCATTCATCTTCCAACTTAGATCAGTATTTGAACAGTTCATGGGTGTAGCAACTGCGGTAGGCCCAGTGGTATTTAGCAATCTATTATCTTCTTCGTCCTACAATTTCTGTAAACTTAGAATTTTTTGTGCCAGGTACAGGGGCCAGGAGTAACACATGGGATCGGCAGCATGGGATCTTCACACAATCTGAGAATACCCTACCCACACGGTGGCATACACATAATCCTCTCTTGATTACCTCATCTTTAGTTAAAACTGCATTGTAAGGTAAATGTTAAGTGTCTCATCTCAGAACTCCTTGTATATCTTCTGATCTGTAGGACTCAAGGATTGTGAAAGTGTTAAGCAAGTGAGAGGACTGGGTAAAGGGTTTAAAGGGTTTTAAGGGGCTTAAAGGGTTTTAAGGGGCTTAAAGGTTTAAGCAGAGGAGTACCAAAGGGGAAGGGTTTAAAAGGTTTAAAAGTCAGTATACGAAAGTCAGGCAATGGAACAATCATCAGGGGAGCTGCTGAACGGGGTGGGGATAATAGACAACAGGTGCTCCAGGACGGGACGGGTGGCATTAGCAGTTCCATGGGACAATGGAGCCGAGGACAGACAAGATAAGTAACCACAGCACCACGAAACAATGATCTTAATTGATGTGTTAAAAAAAAAAAAAAAAAAAAAAAAAAGTGCCTAAGCGAGTGCGTAGTCTTGCACATCACTCGGTTTTATTTTGGGTTTTTGTTTATTGGAGAGGTGGTGTAGAGGTGTGCCACTCTCAAAATAAAGTCGTGTTTCAGAGAGCGCTGTAGGGAGGCTCTTTTTTTTTTTTTTTTTTTTTTTTCTCTGCTGACCTCGCGCATTGTCTGAAAACAGACTACAGCCATACTATGTCTCACCACTTCGCTCTTTTTTCTTACGCCTCAATATATGGCATGTTTTTTGCACATCACCCAGTTCTTGCCCACAGTATTGTGAAAAAAGTGTCTCCCTCTCCTGCAGGGCAGCACATGCATACTCCGCTTGGTGGCTAAAGTGTTTCTTTGGGACAGGAGTTGACTCATGCATATGGATATGTTTATTTTCTCTTACAGGCAAAATCCGAAGTGTAACCTTTTATGCTGAGGACAATAATATTGTTTATCAGTTGCATGGAACAAGATATTGCCCAAATGTGGCACGTCACCACGCGAAAAACAATGGTGAGTTTTCAAATAAAACAAGTGCACTAAGTATATTTCGTCCTGGGCTTATGCAAATGAATGTAAAATCATGTAGTTTGAATCTGGTGTTCCATTAGACTTCTTTAAAAAATTGAAGTACTTACTGTGTTTTTTTTTTTGTTTTTTTTTTTCATCTGCTTGTTAAACAGTCATGTTTGTTGTGAACGTTCAGGCAAGGACATAGCACATCAAGTGTCATGATAAAGACTGCTATGACAATTTGGGTCGAGGTAAGAGTTTATACGACAACTTGCAGTCTCATAAATCATCTGCAGATGTCAAGTGCCAAAAAGATACCAAAACCACCAAATTATGCCTCCTACAGCCCCCCACCCAACCACACATACACGTGGGCCGGACATTTGGTTCGAAATCCCAGGTGTTCAATTATTACCAATCTGCAGGGGCCCTTTATCTCCTGGGACATAGGACTGGCTCCTTACTTTGGGCCTAATTTTTATTCCATAAGGAAAAAAGGCACACAAGATGCTGTCACTACTGCTGTGGTAGCAGTTTGCCGCAGGCACTGCTGCAGCAACGCTTGATGTTGCCGTTGCAGCATTATCAGTTGCACGGACTTGAAGCAGTAGCCGCAGCAGCGGATTGCATGAGGCACTACTGCTGCAGCACTTGTCATAGGAGAAAGTGCAAGCATTTTTTGGTGCGCTGGTTGCAGCAGCACCTGCGGGCACTGCTGTAGGAGGATTGTTGTGGAACAGATACCTCGCCAATTCTACAACCTCTATCAAACCAGGGAGCTCCCACATTGTAGTCTGCATGTGGATCACGTGCAGGGCACTGCACAGCCCGTGTTCAGAAGGGGCCGTTCATTGTCCTTACTGTTGTGTGTGGGTTTTCCCATTGCCTGAAGCCATGCGTTCTATTTGATCATTTTTGTTGTTGCATCTTTGATGGGTTCCACATCTGCTTGTCTTGATTGCCCTCTGACAAGTCGTATTGTTCTGTAGTGGCGTTGGGTAGTTGCATATAGCTCGCCTTGAAGGGCCCAGAGAGGATGAAGGTGGAGGTGGGCAGGTCAGGGATGGGGAGGCAAGGGGGATGGGTGGTGAGGAGAGTGGAGAGCTGGGGGAAAGAGGATGTGGGCAAGGGAGGTGCAGGAATGTGGGGAGAGTAGGAAACAGAGAGGGAAGGCTAAGGTGAAGCGGATGGGAAGGCCAACTGCACAAAAAGGTGATGAGGGTCAAGTGGCAGGAGGGCTGTGAGAGAGTGGGAAAGGGAGGGGGGAGGTTGAAGGGTAATCGGATGGGGAGGGAACTATGCTAAAGGGGAAGGGAAAGAGGTGACATGCAGCCCGCCTAAGGTGTTGACCGGATCAGGCCATTGTCTGAGGATAGTGCATATGAAGTGATGGGAGGTTGGGACTGTTGTGCTGCCAAACCATTTGCCTTGCTCGCGGGTAGGGGGTGTTAAAAAAACAGAGGACTGGTCTCAATTTCCACTGCTTTACGTTTTGTCCACATCAAAGTTTTCCACCATGCACTCTTGCACTTTTTGCAAATGAAAGCCACTTAATCATCTTAATGTTTTTTTTTCGTTTTTATTGTTAAAAAAATTATATTTTTTCTCACCTGCTGATTTCAAAAGGCTGGCAACACCAGAAGTGTAGGAAATTAGTACTTGAGGGCCGGCAGATGAAGGTGATTGAGGGCGGGGGGGCATGCAGAGTGCTGCGTGTACCGAATTGTTCTCAGGGCGCCTGAAAACGAGAGAGCGGGCCCATGGGGCTGGGCGGCGGCGGGCGTAGATGGGAGGGAATATCTCGAAGCGCCCGCCGTTGATAGGCGGGCAGGGACCGTTTTTCCTTTTTTTTTTTTTTTCGTCGAGGCAGCAGTTTGTCGTTTCATTTTTCATTATATTTCTCATCGGGGTAGCAGTTTGTCGTTTTGTTTTTCATTTTCTGCGTGAATGGCCCACACCGCCCGCACCGCGGGCACTTAGCTAGTACAGATGTATCTATTCTGTATTTGAGAACTAACATAGGTGTCTTTGAATTGTTATTTGCTTTTGGTATTGCCTTGCAGGGTTTGTATCGGAGAAGGCACATACTCCAGCAGACTTCAAAATATGTTGACGTGATGTCTGAAACATGTTGACATAAAGTCACATGTTTCTACATGGATATCGGTTTTTTCGTGGGACTTGTCTTTCCATGCCAAACATGTGGCCAATTTTTGGAACAGTGTTCTTAATGACCTTGTGCAGTCATCACAGCAGACAACGGGGGAGGGAGGGAGGGAGGGAGAGAGAGAGAGAGAGAGAGAGAGAGAGAGAGAGAGAGAATAACTTTTTTGTACGTCTTAGAGAGAGAGAGAGAGAATAGTTTTTTTTTACATCTGTGTGTGTGTGTGTATGTGTGTGTGTGTGTGTGTGTGTGTGTGTGAGAGAGAGAGAATAGTTTTTTTGTACGTCTTAGAGAGAGAGAGAGAATAACTTTTTTGTACATCTGATAGAGAAAGAGAGGGAGAGAGATAGAAGAGTTTTTTTGTACATCTGTGTGTGTGTGTGTGTGTGTGTGTGTGTGTGTGTGTGTGTGTGTGTGTGTGTGTGTGTGAGAGAGAGAAACAACGCCCTGGCTCCGGTTCTCTAAGCTATCGGTTCATTAGGTTATTTGAAGATAAGGGAGCACAGATGACCGAGATCAACATGAAAGTCCTTTTTTGACCCTAAGTACAGCAGAACCTGCCGCAGTGGTATCAACAGATACCACAACAGATACCACATTGTGTTCTTATTGACCTTGAGCAGTCATCACAGCAGACAATTGGGGAGGGAACATTGTGTTCTTAATGACCTTGTGCAGTCATCAGAGCAGACAATGGGGGAGGGAGGGAGGGAGGGAGGGAGAGAGAGGGAGATAGGGAGAGAAAGAGAGAGAGAGAGAGAGAGAGAGAGAGAGAGAGAGAATCAAGATTGAGAAATATAGAAACAACGCCCTGACTCCGGTTCTCTGAGCTATCGGTTCATTAGGTTATTTGAAGATAAGTGCGTCGTTTTTAGATCATATATTCGAATCATCTTTGAAATTTTCTCAACTGCTGGGTACATCCATCGTTTCAATATACTTTACCATTTCTCCATGTATGTGTTGTCCGAATCCTCAGAAATGCAGGGACCATGCTAGTCTTCACTGTATAAATGTTCCAAATTAATTTGATATATATAGTTCAAATGTGAGTTCATTTTCTTATGCAGCTGGGTATGATTCTGTAGTTGTTCCTTCTTTCTTTTTTACTAATGAGAACCGTGCCTCTCAACTGCACTGGGGGGCCCCAACTGGTTGGTCTGAGAAAAAAAAGAAAACAAATTGTTCGAATCTTCGGCGAAGCATGGTGGGGGTTAAGGAGGCTGGAACACAACAAAACAACTAAGTAATAGAGGAAAAAAAAGAAAATAAATAGCTGAAGTCTTCGACGAAGCATGGCGGGGGGCTAAGGAGGTTTCAAAGCTAGAAAACGAAGTATACGAGGAAAACAAAGAAAAAAAATACCTGGAAGCTTCGGCGAAGCATGGTGGGGGGGGCTAAGAAGGCTTAAAAGCAAGGAAGCAACTAAGTAACTGAGGAGAAAAACAGGAAAAGAATGGTTGGAATCTTCGGCGAAGCACGGTGGGGGTTAAGGACTCAACCTGTGTTCAGACTTAGGGTATACTCACACCAGGACTTTCCTTGATGAACCTGATCGGAATTCCACTTTGATCTGGATGTAGTGCCAACATCAACGCCCGCAGCTCGATCCAAGAGCTCCTAGACCAAGCCTACCGTCTTCACCCGAATAGAACACCCGGTCATTTCTTTTTTCACTTATGAGAACAGTGCTCGCAACAACATTTTGGGGCCGTACCACACATGCCTCCCCCCCCTCCTACCTGTTTCCTATTATTATTTGTGTTGGCCTAAGGAAAAAAAACATATAAAATAGATGGAATCTTTGGCGAACCATCGTGGGTTGCTAAGCAGCTTCAAAAGCAAGAAAGCAACTAAGTTACCGAGGAAGAAAAAAAAAAGAAATACCCTGGCAACCTCGGTTAAGCATGTTGGGGGGCTAAGGAGGTGTGAAAGCAAGAAACCAACTGAGTAACCGAGGAAGAAAAAGAAAAAAATGCCTGAAATATTCAGCGAAGCATTGGGGGGGGCCAAGGAGGTTGAAAAAAGCAAGAAAGGAAATCAGGTTACAAAGGAAAAAAAAACAAACCAGCTGGAATCTTCAGCGAACCATGGTGGGGGGCTAAGCAGATTTGAAAGCAAGAAAGCGACTAATTTACCGAGGAAAAAACAGAAAAAAAATAGCTGGAATCTTCGGCGAAGCATGGTGGGGGGGCTGAGGAGGTTGGGAAATGCAAGAAAGCAACTAAGTAACCGAGGAAGAAAAAGAAGAAAAATAGCTGGAATCTTCGGCGACGCATGGTGGGGGGCTAAGAAGGTTTATAAAGCAAGAAAGGGTGGGGGGCTAAGAAGGTTTATAAAGCGAAAAAGGAACTAAGTTACGGAGGAAAAATAAGAAAAAAAATACTGAATCTTCGGCAGAGCATGGTGGGGGGGCTAAGGAGGTTGGGAAATGCAAGAAAGAAACTTAAGTAACCGAGGAAAAAAAAGAAAAAAAATAGCTGGAATCTTCGGCAAAGCATGGTGGGGAGCTAAGAAGGTTTATAAAGCAAGAAAACAACTAAGTTACTGAGGAAGAAAAAGCAAAAGAATAGCTGGAATCTTTGGCGAAATCATGGTGGGGGGATAAGAAGGTTTATAAAGCAAGAAAGCGACTTAAGTTACCGAGGAAAAAAAAAAAAAATAGCTGGAATCTTCGGCGAAGCAAGGTGGGGGGGCTGAGGAGGTTGGGAAACGCAAGAAAGCAACTAGGTAACAGAGGAAAAAAAAGAAAACAAATAGCTGGAATCTTCGGCGAAGCATAGTGGGGCGCTAAGAAGGTTTATAAAGCAAGAAAGCAACTAAATTACCGAGGAAAAAAAAGAAAATAAATAGCTGGAATTTTCGGCGAAGCATGGTGGGGGGCTAATAAGGTTTATAAAGCAAGAAAGCAACTAAGTTACCGAGTAAGAAAAAGAAAAACAATAGTTGGAATCTTCAGCGAAGCATGGTGGGGGGGCTAAGAAGGTTGGGAAACGCAAGAAAGCAACTAAGTAACCGAGGAAAAAAAAGAAAAAAAATAGCTGGAATCTTCGGCGAAGTATGGTGGGGGGCTAATAAGGTTTATAAAGCAAGAAAGCAATTAAGTTACCGAGTAAGAAAAAGAAAAAAAGTAGCTGGAATCTTCGGCGAATCATGGTGGGGGGGCTAAGGAGGTTGGGAAACGCAAAAAAGCAACTAAGTAACCGAGGAAAAAAAAGAAAACAAATAGCTGGAATCTTCGGCGAAGCATGGTGGGGGGCTAAGAAGTTTTATAAAGCAAGAAAGCAACTAAGTTACCGAGGGAAAAAAAGAAAAGCAATAGCTGGAATCTTCGGCGAAGCATGGTGGGGGGGCTGAGGAGGTTGGGAAACGCAAGAAAGCAACTAAGTAACGAGGGAAAAAAAGAAAAGAAATGGCTGGAATCTTCGGCGAAGCATGGTGGGGGGGCTGAGGAGGTTGGGAAACGTAAGAAAGCAACGAAGTAACCGAGGAAAAAAAAAAAAAAAATAGTTGGAATCTTCAGCGAAAGGGGGGGATGGGGTAAGTGGTTCATTAATTTGTGCACCGAATCTTCTCTATAGAAATACCGAATATTTACATGCCAGTTAACCATCTCTCATACCAAGCCCACATCCTCGTTTCTTTCAATCCATAATCATGGCAAACTGGCTTCGAAAAGCGAATAAGAAAACCACACAAAAGGAAAGAAATTGGTTTTTATTCACCAAGCTAATCATCTCACCCTTGCCCTGTAACACAAAAGGGTACACGACTTGATACTAATTGGACTGTTTTTTTCAAATTAGTTCATGTAGACCTCCGCAGCTGTAAAGGCAAAGACAAGACAGATTCTTAAAAGCTAAGTCGTTTTTAAACTTGACGGGTCATATAGATCCTATGAATTATACCATACTATAGGACCCGACTATAAGCAGACTTTTTTGTGCATAAAATAGTGGTCCACTCATATGAATTGCTCCAACTTAGTGTCCTTTCTCCTTATCCTATTCTTTTCTCCCATTATTGTTTTAGTTTTGTTGCTTTGAACCATTACCAGCATTCTCCTTACTTACCTCCTCTGCCCCTTTGAGCAGTAGAAAACTATAAGATGGACCTCGCTCACCGTCAATCTAAAGTATAATGTGCAAAGATGTGCTCTTGTATATGAAAGATCAGTGTCCCAATGAGAATTTTCATCGTTTGGTACACCTAAGCTAAACCAGCTGATGCTGCCGAGATAAATCCGGGTTGAACTGTCATGTCCCCAGCCTCGTTCTTTTCAGACATTAAATTGATATGTTACCTTTTTAAAAAAATAAACCAAAAAAAAAAAAAAAAAAATCCTTGTTGCTTTGAGCCACCGCTTGCATTTTCCCTACATCCCTCCTCTCACCCCTCACCCAAGTTTAGATCGCAGTGAAGCCTGACCCCTGATAAGGAATTGTTCATGACTTACCAAGGACCTGTTAACTCCACTACACAACACTGTACATGCATTTACATGCCCTCTAGACAAGATTCATTCAGAGTATTGGACATGCATGTAGTCTGTTCACAAAACAATGCCAATCTAGCAAAATCTGTTCAATATTTTTTCCCATGTTTGCTGAAATCATACCCCGCCCAATCACACATGCACTACAAATCTGAAACAACCTGAGCCACACTCTCCAACAATTGCAAAATCACAGCCTCACATGATCATCTCTGCAGCCTCGCATGGTCATCCGTACAAACCCCGAGGCTACAATTTCCTAACCCCTGGCTGCGCCCTCGCGCTCCGCGCGGCCACAGTTTCTACGCGGGCACACACACACACACGCACACTCTGCCATTGGCAGTAGGAGCGTTCACACACACACACCGCCAATTGGCTTTTGTCTCGGCTTTCAGATGGGACAACCTGACTGAACCCCCCCCCCCCACCCCCATTACGGTCAGGTTCTGACCTACCCTCCTGCCTCCTTTCCCTCTCCTTCTCGACACGGGGGGGATGGGATACCCTCCCTTTCATTACTTCCTCCCTCCCCTCCTCCCTCTTCCTCTTCGTCTTCCTCTTCCTCCTCACCTCCACCCCCTCGCCCTCTCCGCGCCAATAGGCTTCCTCCGAGCACAACGGACCCTCGTCACGAATGTATACAAGCTATCTGTCCGGTTTAGTGCGGCCAAAATGAGGGTCCTTGACTATATTTCAAAAGGGAAAATTTTTGAAATGCCCCTGAAGTTTGCGTTTATTTGCGGCGTGCCCCTTTGACGGCCGACTTACCTTGTCGCGCCCCTCTGACGACGAATGATGTTTCCAGAAAACACCTGGCGTCGTTTGGGCCTGAAAAGTGTTTCATATGCCCCTACCTGTACCAGTACCAAATTTTCAGTATGCCCCTACCGGATGGCCGTTGAGAACCAGCACAAAAGTTTCCCATATGCCCTTTATTGGTACCGTCCATCTTTCCAGTGAGCTCCTGTGGCCGTTGTTGACACTCACAGTCTTTCCCCTGGCCCAGGGAGAGATGCTACCGGGGCATATCAAAAATTTGGCAATGAGCATGGACACACACACACACGCACACGTGCACACACCCACACACACACCACACATATACACACACAC